ATAATATTAAATAAGGATTATGTATGAAAAATATATTTTTTCTTAGATTTTTATTTAAATATTATACAAAAATATTGTTTAAAGTTAGTGAGAAAAAATAAAAAAAATTGTGACTACCAATTTTAAATAAAAAGGTAATTAATTCGTAATGTTAGTGATTCGCTTCTCGCCACCATTATTTGGCTACTTTTTAGATACCGCGATATGCTTCAATTCTTCAGTCTTTTGCTTTATCCATAAAATGTCTACGAAGGAGAGTGAAGTATAAGAAACTAATTTTGTACTATATATACATATATTCATATTCCCCACACAAATAAATATCTTAGCTTTGATTCTTTATTGTTATATAAAGAAAGCGGAGCATTTATTCAAAAAAAAAGAAAAGAATAAATAATAATAAATAATTTATGGCAATTTGCAAGCTGGGTCCCAGATTCTCAAAGGAAAACGATTTTAGAATAATTTTTTTATACCACATTTTGATATAATCTGACGTATCATTTAAATAATTGATTTTTTTAATTGTGAAACTCATGATGTTTAATGCATTCACTCATTAATGACATATAAAAGTTGTATCAAAATATGGAATAAAAAAGTTGTCCATATAGCACTGTCCATTCCCAAAAGTGGTATTGCGGAGTCTAAACTACAATTAGTAATCTTTTTCTCACATATCCAATGTTGTGTGCTTTAACAATTCAACTTGAAAACCATTATTGTAACATCCCCTTTTGATAAACTAAAGGTTTATCAAGTAGGGAAATGTACTATACAAGTTAAAAAAAGTAGAAAATATCTATAGAATCAAAAAGCTCATTTTATATACTATTCTCAGGCTCAATAACAACACAAAATAGGTTGAAAATTACAAAGCCAAATGGAAGTTTTGGGTAGATACAGATTTTGTATTACTAATATTTCAAAGCACAGCTTATAATTAACATAGGACCTCCACCTACAAATTTGTTAGGAATAACAGCTACTCTTCACTACTACTATTTGAAATTGTGGGAATAACATCATCAGCTCATAGCCTAGTAAGCATAATTATTAATCTTAAGTTAAGCTAATAATCTAATCTTAATATTTTATGTAGAAAAATTCCTTAAATTCCTAGTTGTATTGGCCTTATTGAAAATTAAGGCATTGTAGCCACAAAATGATCACACAAACATAGCACGTCAAATAGGAATAACATAAACTATGGAGTCCACTGAATGCGCATGCACTCACATTAGGTGCCAAAACTAATCATAGCACTTACCTACTGTGCAAAGATTCACTAATTCATTGTTCTAACCCCCAAGCCTAGGTTGGGGTCTAAACTCTCCATAGTTCTAAGACAATTACATTACAGAACCATATATAGCACATAATCATGCATAACATATTCAATATTTACTTAATATGGCCTATAGAACTAATAGAAAATAGGCTATAATGAAGTGCCCAGATCAAATACACAAAACATAGTTCCAAAAAGGTGATACATATAACATATTAATCTCAAAACTTGAATTATAAGAATTTCATAGTTTCAACATATGAAATTTCTAGTTTAACTTGCTTTTGTATTTATTTCTCTCTATATTATATAACTTATCTTGCAACACCTTAATTTCTTGTGTATATTCTGTCTAATTCATTTACTTTCTTATTTTGTTTGACAACTTTGACTTAAAATTAAGAACCACACTTTATTCAAAATCCTGAGCTTGGCAGAATTCTTCAAGATTCTCCACGTCTGTGTAGCCTATTTGCACCTTCTTTCTCCTTCTCCTTCGGTCCAACTATATGCAAAATGCAAGAAAATGACTAATTTAATTAGATAACCCAAAACCTCCAATCAAGTGGGTCTTAAATGCTCTCCCACTTGGCCCTCTTCTCATTCAACCACCTATCATTTATTTTAACAAATTATTGATAACTGGACTACACTAACTCTCCCTAAAATAGACACCTAATTTGTTGTTTATTAAAATAACATGTAATCTCATAATTAACAAATATTATAGATTAGTCATTAATTCTAGATGAGATGAAGGACTCTAACTTTAGACTCAATGCAAATAAGGATTTATTTTCTTTAACTAATTGCAAATAAAAACTGGAATATCACAATTATTACCTTGATTCATGTATTATTTGGTATTCAATTTATTCATTTTTAATAGATTTAATTTGACTTTTTAACTTTTTAGATATAAATTTTAAATACAAATTTAACATATTATATAAATAATAATTAAAATTTTTTAAATCAAATTAAAGTACTCAACAAAAAGTTTATATAAATTAATAAGAATTTTCAACATTTTTTTTGAATGGATTACAATTGTTAGGGGAGGAGAAATTGGAACCTAACCTTAGGGCTAGTTAGGGGATGTATCTTACTATGAGACCTATAACCATTTAGATAATAAAACTCATGTGTAAGAATTTTCAACTATTAATCATATAAATTGTTAACTTTTTATTTAAATTTTGTATTTAAAAAATTTTAAAAATCAAATTAAATATATTAACAATAAACAAAGAGAGTAATTATTTTGGAAAGTTAAGGTCTATACGTACGTACTACTTGGTGCTATCACATCAGTTAAGATTTTTTCTTTTCCCCTAGGACCATATCATACATTTGTAAAATTAAAGGATTATTATTATTATTATTATTATTTTGAGAAGTAAAGGGTTAAATTAAGAGATGGTAAAAGCAAAATGCTAGCTGCCTTAGCTCAGCCGGAGTTCATGTTTCTTTAAAAAATTTCAAAAAGAAAAGGACGTGATTGATAAGCTCCTAAGGGCACATAGAATCTAGAATTTTATAGGAGAGAAAAAGTTGCAATAAAATTACAAATTTTATCATTTTTTATTATTATTATTTTTTTTAATAAATTCGCAAGGAGTCGGATTCGAACCGTTACCTTGTGGTAGAGAAATGCACTTATACATAACCTGAAGTCATTAGGTCTAAAGGCCAAATGCATTTTTTATTTAAATATAAAAACCTTTTAAGTTTTTAAATTTGATAATAAATTTTTATTTTTTTATTTAATAATATAAATTTTATCTTTTTTTATTTAATTTAAAGATATGAACTTTTTTATATTCAGATTAAAATTGCCTTTTTTCACATCATTTTCATTTTCACCATTTAATAAATTCTTAAATTAAAAAAAATACAAAGTTTGTATTCTTATTTAAAAAATAAAATTTATCACATAATTTAAAATTTTTAAAAATTTATATTTTTAAATAAAAAATGACAAAATTTATATATTTATATGCATTTTTTCTCTTTTTTGGGACCTGGGAAATGTATCTTATTCATTGTCTGCGCCGAGGAAAGGAACCAAATGCTACCTCATGGATGCATCTTGGGCTTTTTGGTAAGAATTGAGAAAATCCTTAACCATTCCATTAGACCATGGGCTTTTCGGGTCGATTTGTAATTTTCATTTTTTCCCTTGAACATGGGAAATTGGGGCTGAATTGTTTACAAGGTTCGAACAAGGAGCCTTGCTGATACTGCACCTTATCTAACGTAACTACTGTTGTAGTTGCCCATTTGTAAAATTGGATCATTATATAATTAAAGGTAAAATATTAATTTAGTTCCTTAACTTTTAAATTTGTTATCAAAATTATCCTTTAACTTTAAGAAGTACCAAAATTATCCTTAGATCTTAATTTTTGCTACCAAAATTGTTCTTTAAACTTTACAAACAAGTACTAACTTAATCTTTGAACTTTAAAGACAAATGCCAACTTAACCCTTAAACTTTAATTACAAATACCAATATGGACTTTCCACTATAATTACATATCAATCTAGCATATAAATGAAAATATACCATAATAACAAAATATGACTATTTAATTTTACATATAGTATTTTAAAAAAGAACTAATTTTGCCAACAAACTAAATAGTTCGATGGTTTTTTTTTTTCTCTTGCAAGTAAAAGATTCTAAATTCAAGTCGTATAATATGTGGGTCAGAAAAAAGAAGAGATGAAAGATGATTACCTCTTATTATACAATTAAGGTAAAAAAAAAAAAGGATTTGATTTTGTCCAAAGATGACGAGGCACATGGCATTTTTGTTAATGGAATGACTATTTTGGTATTGAAAATTAGAATTTAAGAATAATTTTGGTATTTTTTGAAGTTAAAAAACAATTTTAGTATAAATCTAAACTTTGAAGAACCAAATTAATATTACAATCATTATTATAAAGTTTTTTTTTTCAATATTATTTTTGGTACATTCAATGATAACGGCATAATAAATTTTTTTTTATCTTTTTAAAACTCTTTTTTTGTATCCATTTCAAAATTCAAATTTTAAACAGATATTAAAATTTAAACTTTACTTGATTTAACTAATAGGAATAACTTATAATTGTAGTGGCTAATTAATAATAAACAAACTAATATTTATCATTTTAACAATTTAAAGTCAACTTATATAAGTCAATATTTTTATGAATAATGATAAATAGGATGAAAACTTGATACTAAAATCTAGGACTTGTGACGTAATATAAGTCACGTCATTTAAAATATTAAAAGATAAATCTTATATTCTTTAATAATTAATTCTTTTTAATTTTTAAAGGCCTACAATATCATATATGTCAACTAATTTGATGACATGACATTCATTATATTATTAGGTCCAAAATTTTGTCCTCCCTATTATTACTCTATTTTTAAACACTATAATAAACTGTTTAAGAAAAAAAAAAAAAAAAAGCCTTTAGGTTGATTAAACCAAAGCACACCCTTAAACTTACAAATTTTATCCATTTTTGCGACTTAGAGGTTGAAGGTACTAATACATTTGCAAATTTCGACTTTAATCCCATGAAATATATATATTTTTTGCTATGGAATTATAGTTTTTTTTTTAACATTGAGGGTGGAATTTGAACCCCACACCTACCAAACTAGTATAAAAAGTTCTTCACAAGGAAAAGGGGTCACTAAACTATGAGAAAGTTCTTGTTGTAGAACTATAGTTTAGTTAATAAAATAGTTTATTTTTCTATATTATTGACTAAAATTTTGATTCTTAACCAAAATTATAATAAAATAGGTTTTACTGAATCTTCTAATCCAACATGGCATGATTAATCTCAATTTATACTTTTTTATTTTAATGAGTTTAGGTTTAGAAGAAAGAGGATTCCAACCTTAGTTTTTAGATTAAAAAGTGCATCTTACAACTCGACTTATAAACAATGAAGAGTAAGAACCTGGTTTAATTTCCATTTATACCTTCAAACCAACGCCAGCACACAAAATTAATTTCAATTTATAGAAAAGATGCAATTAAGTACTTACAGATCAGATTAACAATTTCTTAAATCTTAACATTATCGTTATAATATGGTTGTAAATCTGTAACACACTAACGTCGACAGATTCGTATCCATCATGCATGCTGTAAACTTGATTACAAGGTTCTAGCAAATTTACCCTAATTTTATCCAACTCCTAACCAAAGAATCATCAGAAAAACAGGGCTCCTCCTTGCCTACTATACCGATTACTAACTGTAAAACATATACTTTTCGACTGTCAAAACAATAATGAAGGGTTTAAAAGCTCCTCAGATTCTCCTCCTCCGATCATCCCAGGAACCGGCACCGGCAATTCCTCTTCTATATGAACTTCTATCTCCTTATTCTCTTGCTCTCCATGATAGTTGCTATTGAGAGTCAAAATATGAATCAGGATCGTGAATTTATGGGTTCAAAGCTTTTGAAGAAGCATCCGACGAGGTCCGGGAAGCGCCACTACCATCGCCGCCGCCATCATCATCATCATGCCCACCACCATGTTTATCATCGGAGAAAGTATTGTACGACAAAGACTGCCTCGGTCTCCCTAATCACGGCGTTAAATAGCTCTATGGTCAAATGCCGCCGCCGCCTGGTGAAGTTTTTCTCCAAAATAGCGCGCGCGATTATCCCTGAATGCGACTGCGGCCCCGCCTTGGGGTTCCAGGTCCTCCAAAATCCACCGATGGAGTACTTAGAGAACGAGTCCGGCCCACCCCAATTTGATTTCGAATTCGATACTGGTATCGTTCTGCCCCACCATCTTGTTGTGAACCACCGCCTACTTCCTCCGTTGGCCACGGAGGGGAAGAAAACAATCGTCCTCGATTTGGACGAGACCCTTATACATTCGAGCCCCGATCCGCCTCCAAAATCGTACGATTTCGTCGTCCGTCCAGAAATCGAAGGGAAGACAGTGACCATGTACGTCTTGAAGCGACCCGGGTTGGACGAATTCTTAAAGGAGTTAAGCGAAAAATTCGAGGTGGTGGTGTTCACGGCAGGGCTGAAGCCGTACGCGTCGCTTGTTCTGGATAATTTAGACCCAGAGGGGAAAATCTTTACCCACCGGCTTTATCGGGAAGCGTGTAAGGAGATACGGGGAAGATATGTGAAGGATTTGTCAGAGTTGGGGAGAGATTTGGGGGAAGTCGTGATCGTCGACGATAACCCCAAGTCGTACTCGCTGCATCCGGCAAACGCGATTCCGATGAAGGCGTTTGTAGATGATATGGAGGACAGGGAGTTGGAGAAGCTGATGGTGTTTTTCAGGCAGTGTAGTGTTTTTAGGGACATTAGGGAGGCGGTAAGGCAATATCTCAGCCACCTCGCCGGAGACGGCGACAACAAATGATTTTGCAACCCTTGGTTGATTGAGGTCCATGCGAAGAAGATCCATGAGAGCGCGCGCTGTGATCATCAATTGTCCGGTGTTTTTCTTTTCTTTTTTTTTTTGATAATTGAAAAACTTTCTTTTCTTTTCTTTCTTTTTTTTTTTTTTTTTGGTGAAAATTCTTTTAGTACTTTTACTTTAAGTATTATTTCCTGTATGTTAATTGAAACTTTTATTAGATTTTTTTTATGAACTTTTATTAGATTGTTTTACTCCCATATGAGGAGTAATAAAATGGGAGTAATTTAGGAGAATATAAATTGAAAGTTTTATGAAAAGTTAATTTTCATTTGATTATTTTACTTGACAAAAAAAAATGTTATTCTTGTGCAATTGAAACTGGAAGTATATTTATAGGTAATGATATGTAAATAACTTTTTTGTATAATTTTTTTATATAATTTTTATATATTATTAAATAAATACATATATACAATATTATGAGTTTTAATAAAATTTAAAAAAAAAATCAATCATTAAATGATATACAAGGTGTATGAAAAGAATAGACAAAAATGTTATCTTTCAATACTTTTCCATATATTTACATTCATTGATTTATTATTATTATTATTATTTTGCCATTGATTTATGTTTATTAATTTCACATTTTTATATAAATAATTTTGCATCTATTTATCCATAAAAAAATTTACATTTATGTTATATCATGTTGGATATTTTAATTAAATTTGAACTTTTAGACAAATGAATAGGGAAAAGATTATGCGAAAATGAGAACTATTTCATATTATATAATTTATAATAAAATGCATTAAAAAAAACACTATTTATGTTGTACTTACAATAACTTCCTAGAATTTTGACAAGTAAAAAATTAAAAATAAAAATTCCATGACTGTGTGATGTCATAAACCTTCCTAAGTTTTGATAACATGTTAAATTATCAACGACTTGTTATATATCTAATGTGATATACAGATTTCCATGCCATGAAGGTGGAGTTGTTTCGCTTAAATAAGAATAAGAAAAATAACTGGATTGGGAAATAAGATCCCTTAATTCTGAAAGTTGGATGGATCGAACTTGGGAAGCAAGAAATTTAATTAGAGAACTAGGATTTTGTACACAGTTGCATTTATATTCAAGTATATATATACAATATTACAATTAGCATTTAGCATTGAATATTCATTTAATAAAAACAAATTACATATCCTAGCTAGAACTATAGGATTCACGATGAATTATTATTATATATATATAGCTTCATGCCTTCATAAAAAAGAGCTGAATTTTGATTATAAGAGCTACTTTGCCAATCATGATTAATTTGTCAATTAATTTAGGATTACCAATCAATAAATAATTAATGAATTAACATAGTTTTATATGTAAATAATAGTACAGTATAGGAAAAAAACCAGTCACCAAGGGCCGGTCCATTGGAGACCAGGGGGGCGGTGGCCCCCCCTGGGGATTGAAAAAAAAAATTGATAAATATTAATTGATTAATTTTAAATATTATATTTATAATTGTTAAGATACATAAATTTTTTTTAAAAAAATTTACTCATTAAAATAGTGGGTTATGGTGGATATGATGCATTCATTGGGGAGAGATTTTTAAAATGGAAGATTTACTGTCTCATTTACAAGTTAATTACTTTGATGTTTACTTTTCCAATTTCTATAACAACAACAGAAAGAGCATTTTCTGCTATGAAAATTATGAAAACAAGATTTTGCAATAAAATGGATGGTGAATTCCTTTCAAATTTTTTGATTATTTACATTGAAAAGAAAATTATTCAAACATTTAGTATAGACTCAATTATTAATAGATTTCGTAATTTAAAAACTCATCGAGTATTATTTTAATTTATGATATTAAAACAAGTTTTTAAAATTATAATATATTATTTTGAGACTTGAAAACTTGCCTCCGCTAGTCAAAATTCTTAGCCCTGACAGTCAGAGCAATAATCCCAAACTACAACCTTAGAAATTATAGTCTTTTTAACAAACAAGTAATTAAAAGCCAACAACAGTGTTAGTTTCCACCAAATTCCACTAATTTTAAAATGGCTTACATTAACAAACCCCCTTCATGCCAATAAACAGTAACTAAAGGTGCCCCTAACTTTAACCACCCTGCAGCTTAACTAGAAATGCAGCTTCGGCTCCGAAGCTAACTTTATGACCGTTACACCGAACCTAGATTTAAATGCTCCCGAACCTCCACCTCCACTCCGGTACCAATAAACTCCCATTTCTGTCCCTCACTCTCTCCTCTTCTTTTTCTATGTTCCTTCGCCTGATTTTCTTCCTCTGCTTGATGATCGTCATCAATTCTCCGATATTGATTCAGAATCCGGAAATGGTGTCCAAGATCATCAAGCGAACCCCACCAAAGTCCGTCAAGCGCCAGAAACGCCGGTCCCATAGCCACCATCATCACCGGAGAAAGTCGTCGACTTTGTCCAAAAAGACCGCCTCGGTCTCTTTGCTTTCGTCCATTAACAAGTCTTTTCTTACCTGTCGCCGCCGCCTTGTCAAGCTTTTTGACAAATTGTCCCGCTTGGCAACCCCTAAACGGAGCCACAGGGGATTCAGGATTCTTACCCAGGAAGAAATAGAGTTTGATCCTGAGCCTCGACCGGAGTTGGTTCTCGAATTGGAACCCAGCTTGGTTGTGCCTCGAGCTCTTCTCTTCGACGACGTCGATCAATTCCGGCTTCCTCCTTTGGTTTCGGAGAAACAGAGGACTATCTTTCTTGATCTGGACGAGACCTTGGTGCATTCATCCCAAGACCCACCTCAAAAGATGTATGATTTCGTGGTTAAGCCTGTCATTGAAGGTCAGATTATGAATTTCTACGTCCTGAAGCGGCCCGGGGTCGATAAATTCTTGGAGGAAATCAGCAAAAAGTATGAAGTGGTGGTTTTCACGGCAGGGCTGAAGCAGTACGCGTCGCTGGTGCTGGATGCTCTTGATCCAAAAGGGCTAATTTCACACCGGCTTTACAGAGATTCATGCCGGTGCGTGGAAGGAAGGTACGTTAAGGACTTATCGGAGATGGGGAGGGACATGAGGAGGGTGGTAATCGTCGACGACAACCCCAATTCGTACTCTCTGCAGCCGGAAAATGCGATTCCAATAATTCCGTTTCTGGATGATGTCAATGACAGGGAGTTGGAGAAGCTGGTGGGGTTTTTTCAACGGTGTGATCGGTTTGATGACATGAGAGATGCAGTGAAGCAGTATCTTGGTGGCGGTAGTAATGGCGGCGTCGACGGCGGTGTTTACAGTTTGGCGGAGAGGGAGCAATGATAATATTCATTTGTGTTTCACAATTGTTTGTTGTCGGTAATTTTTTTCATTTTCCTTTTTCATTTTTTTGTGTGGACGTTTGTTTTCTATACACATTTTTTTGCCTTTCAGTCTTTTTTTTTTCTTTTTTTTTTCTTGTTCAAATACTTCAAATACATTTGAACAATAAATTTTGTTCAAAAAGGAAGAAGAAAAAAAAAAAAAGGAAGGGTATTCTTTCTCATCAAAGCTCATTTCAAATATTAAAAAATATATATATTCTGTTAGACTATTAACATGATGCGTTTTCGCCATGGAAAGAAAGTTGGTCGGGGCAAAATCTGAATGGTAGTAATTCATAAGGGTTTAAAATCCGGATGAAAATAAAATCCAAGTAAAGTGATCGTTTACACTTTCTAATAATCATTGGTAGTAAGCAAGGTTGAATTTATTGACAAGTAATATTATTTTATAAGTTAAATTCATAGTTTAAATTTTAAAATAGTATTTAAAAGATTATTTTTTTAAATACATTGATGATATGAGAGTGTGCTCTCAAAATTCATTTGAAACAATTATTTTTAAAATGTATAAAAATTGATATGAGGACAACCCAATTATAAATACAAAAAATATAATCATTAATAATTAGACATCAATTATTACTTATATGTTGCAATTGAACAAATAATTTGAACAGAAGTCTTTATAAAAGTATCATCAAAATACAACTTAGAAGTATTTGTATGATGCCAATAAGAGTTTGATTGAATTTACACTTATTAATTTAAATTTTTTAATTTAGAGTATATGTTAAAGTTCAAATTTTTGTAATACTAAGCAATTAACATTCAATGTACCTAAAAAAAAAAAAAATTCTCATGGGAATAGAATTTCTTCTACTTCCATATTTGGAATTCCTAATTGGAAACTGAACAAATTATTAAATAAAAAAAAAACACTTAAAAGACCCTAATTATTTGTATCAAAAGTGTTTGGGTTGTTTCACAAGTTCCAACCTTTCAATAAAATATTCAACCCGCTTCAATACCTAAAAATCCCAAAAAGTGTCATTAGAAAAATACTTGAACATTCAAGTTAGTAAATATTGCCTGTGATAGAAAAAGAAGCTCTCACAAAAGTAGATATTATAGAGAGAAAAGTGTAATAAAATTATTGTCTTTAATGAAAATAAAAAACAAGTATTTATAATTTTATTTATGACACTAATATTACATGTTATCACCCCATTGATCCACGTGCCACTGGTCACGGGACTAAGTTTCCATTGCTCGCATCTATCTTCCGGGCTCTTATTGTGTTTCAGGACCAAATGATTGGCCTTAGATGAATGTTGGTCCACCTCCCAAAGGGTCTGCTCAAAATTATAATCATACTATATATATAAACCATTCGGCAACAAGATGCCGAACTAGCTTCAATGGATCAGTTCCGACTTCCTCCTCTGCTTTCCGACAAACAGAGGACTGTCTTTCTTGATCTGGACAATACCATAGTGTATGGGTGCCAGCACAGGTGTCTGTGCCATCAATATCAGTTCTCAAAAAAGTATGATTTCAAGTTTAAGATTACGAACATTGAAGGGCAGACTAAGAAATATTACGTTTGTAAGCGCCCAGGAGTGGATGAATTCTTGGAAGAGATCAGCAAAAAGTACGAAGTGGTGGTTTTCACGTCGGACAGCATGGAATATGCGACGCGGGTGCTGGACGCTCTGGATCCCAAGGGGGCTGATATCGCACCGGCTTTACATGGATTCGTGCAGGAAAGTGGACCACGGACACGTCAAGGACTCGTCGACGACAGGGAGGGACTTGAGCAAGGTTGTGATCGTCGATGACAAACACCTTTCCTACTCTGTGCAGCCTGAGAATGGGATCCCCATACTTCCGTTTGCAGGTGATGTTAGGGACAGGTAGTTGCAGAAACTGACTAGGTTTTTTCAAGGGTGTCACTGGTTTGGCGACACGAGGGATGCGGTGCGGCAGTATTTCAGTGGGAGAAGCCGCGAAGGTTTTCTCAGGGTGTTAACAGTACATTGGTGGGCAGCGGCAGCGGTGAGGCAGTACCCTGGCTGGGGAAGGTTAGGAGGGTTCGGGGGTTACCAGCATGTTGGTGGGCAGTGGAGACGGTAGTAGGGGTAAGGATGCTTCGCTTGAAGTATACAAGGTGATACATCTTATACTTGGTGATGGTGGAACAATAATCTACCATTTGTTTCCATAATTATTTGTTTGTTCAAACAGAGAAAATTGGCTATGATTTGCTCTATTCTCACTTCAAAATAAGTCATAAAACACTTCTAGTAGCTATGCTGTTTTTAGTTCTTTTGGTTCATATCTAGTTACAGATCACTAAGGCCCCTTAAAAGAATCAAAATACAAAACCAAAAATATCAACAATACTAAATGGAACCGCAGTATATATTATAACCTAGCTAACAAGCCCATATCCACCTCAAATGCCTCTCAAAGAGCTACGTTTCAGCTTGTTTGAGTAGCAGGGTTTTAAGAACTCTCCCTCTGTTCCTTGTAATTGTCCGTATGTAAATAACATGATGATATTCCGAATTTATGACATGATAATATTCTGTTTGAACCACAAATGATGAACAGGCATGCTAGAGAATCAAAGCTAAGCAAATCGGTTGTAATCAAAGAGGTACTACTGACTCTTTGATAGTGATGACAAATTGGCAATCAACATTATGCCAGATATATTAACTTGAAAACTAGAGCTCAAGCATATATATGCATCTTCAACTTCAAGAATTATTGTTAAACATAACCCTAGTTTTCTGGTAACTCGGTAACTTGTTTCCCGGTACTGATGTTACAATAATTAGTTATCAAATATGGAGTTTATTTTTTTTGGCCGAATATCAAATATGAAGTATACGAGCCTTCACAAGTCCTTATGACATTTTGAATCAACAGAGAAGGATGCAGCCAGAAGATGCGGAAACTAGATGAACTTTTTCTGTTCTCAAGATGAGCATCTTACCTCGACCATAAAACTTGTCTGCAATTAGGTTTTCCTGAGAAGGTAGCTTCAAATCTAACAGCTTAACTTGGCCAAAGTACAATGCTTCCTTCTATACTCAATCAAACAAGTCAAATTATAGACTTCCTCACCATGCATGCTCAAAATTACCATGGTTAATTCCTTCAAACATTAAGATTTATTACACAACTAAACCTCTTAATTCTAGTAGCCAAGTTAACCTACACTGAAGCCTTAATGCAGCACATCACCTTTTAGCCACTGAAAAACTGACATCAGAATGCAGACTAAGAATTAGCTCATGATATACATCCATAAAGTAAACCTCCTAAACCTCAAGCATTCCCACTACGTGGAATTAGAAATAATGAAGGCAAATCAACTAATGAGGAACAAACTTGACCAATAACTAAAAGCACTTGAACCTCAACAAAGAGCCCAAAAACCTAAAAAGGATAATTCCAAGTAGAGTACCATTGGAGACTTAAACATGAAAGGAAAAGGGAATTCTCAGGGTTTCCTTCAAGGCGAAAAGCAGCTTCCCCTTTCAGAGTGACAACTGAGAGCTTTAGCATGATGGAACAAGTATAAGAAGTGTAAAAGTCCAATTAATTGGTGACACTTTAGCTGCATCATGTTGGGAAATAATCACAGGCAACGTTAAATAACAGAAAATTTTCTACAAAATGCATAAAATTCATTTCCAAATTTCACTTTTAATTCTTGGATTAATAAGCATCAAGAAGCTCACTTTCCTTTCTTCAATTTAATGGGGTCATAAATCAGATCAGTATACATAAAAACGAGTTCCCAGTTCATACAAAGACAAGAATCACAAGATCCCCTTCCTAGAAAACCAAATTCCCCAATTCCCAGAAGAAAACAAGATCCCCTTTCGAGTTAAAGAATACAAGACAGCAAAAAAAGAGTAATAGAAATGAGAGCTCAAAGCGAATCAGTCACAACTCACAAAGAAAGACCTGTTCAGGCAAGCGCCAAGCCTCGCCCTTGCTAAAGCACATGTCATCAAGAACTTCACTGCGGCACCACCGGCACTTGGGGTTCTGCATGCACTGAGATCTCGACGCCATTTCGCTGCAATTAGGGATCTGATTCTTGTTGTTCCTCTTAAAAGCTAGCAAGCTGCGATGCGAAGAGGCTGATGGGTATTTTCCAGTGACGCCAGATGAAGCTGGAGATGAAAGGAAGAGAATTGAAAACAGTAGGAAGAAGATGATGATTGAAAGTTTAGAGCTTGATGCTGCCATGGCGAGATTTCTGCTGGTTTATCAGTTCGTCTTCTCTATTTCCCCACTCTTCCGGGTCGGTTTAGTCGATCGGACTTCTGTACTCGTGTCCGAACGAAAATTTGTAAACACATCAAAATTGACCCCAATAGTTTTTTTCTTTTAATTTTAACCCCAACCTCATCTTCACATTTATTTTATTTTATTTTATTTTTTTGATGCTTCAATTGTTAATCGTCACTCAATAACATTGACACTTGGAAAGCCTGTCAAGCTTCGGTAAGAAGTATATTGGGCGATGTTCACCTCAGATCTCTTTGTGAAGACCAATAAAAGATTCATAGTTGAGAGTTCGGAAAAAAAGGAGGCTTTACTTTGAATCTCTTCTTAATTCCATCCCTGCGACATAATATAAGACAAAAACACATATAATGTTATTTGAAATTGGGTAGGTTAATTAAATCCAAAACTTGATGTTTTGGAATTGCTTTTCCTTGCCATGCTTCTCTTTTGACCAAAATATCCACATTTGTGCCAAGCTGGCACTAGTATGAAGAAAACTTGCCTTTTAATTAACCCATTATGCGAAAAAGAGGAGGGGCCAAAAAAATTAGTTGACTCATTACAGTTCCTCTCAAATTTTATAATTTGATAAGGTAATAACAAAGCCCATAATCAGATTATTTTAGTTGTTTTTATATATATAAGAATTGCACAGTTTTATTAAGAATAAAGTTTACATCCTTCCTATGCAGCACTATATCTAAATAAAGAAGTATAAAAACACTAAAAAAGTACCTATAGTATTAATACAAAGAGCTAATATTGAGCATGACAGCTGTGGACAAATAAGTGTAAAGAGTCTCAAGTTATGGGTAAAAGCTATAGAACATCAATAGAGTCATGGATGCCAAAGATAGGTTATGCTAGAACTTTATGTTGTCTTTGAAAACCTCATCTATTTTATCACTCAATCCTAGTCTAGGAGAGCAAAGGAGCATGAGTCATAACAATGTAATATCTCTCATTACTACAATGCTTCACCAATAACTACTCGTAATTTTTGGGACAGATGATTAGTCAAGGACTTCAACCTTTGATCATGTCATCAACAGTTGAAAAAAGTGTTGCAATTGAACCAATCTCATCTAATCTCAAATCTACCTTATCTTCATTATCTACCATAAGTAAAACTTGACAAGATACATCAAGAAAACTTGGATAAAAATTCTCAAAAAGAGAATGACAAAATCTCTTTGAAATAAAATCCTTAAATAAAAAGAGATAATCTCAATTTTATTCATCCTTCCTAATCATCAAGGTAGATAGAGGTGACCACTAAAACAAAAGAGTAATCAAGAGAAAGGAAACATATGGGGGCGAGAGAGAAAAAAGAGTATTAAATTGAGGTTAATTTTTATATTGTTTATATAAATTTATGACAAAAAAAACATTATTATTGTACCCTAAAAAATATCGTTGTTGTACCTCTAAAAAAATCATATAAACATGTAATTTTTTTAATATATCTAATAATAATAAACCATACAAAGAGAATTCTCCTTCTTTTCCTAAATATTTAACTATTTACTTATATTAATTCTTGTCCCAAAAGAAAACATTTCGTCCGAAAATATTTACGAAAAACAAAAAAAAAAATCACGCCGTATGGAAGACGTAAGATCCAAAGGACTAGAGGGAGACGCCAAGACGAAGACAGCGAAGCCTTTCAATTCAATCGTCTGCTCCGTTCCCACTTTCTTTCTCCGTCATATCCGATTGCAATTTTTCTCTTTTATTCCTTTAATTTTCTCGAAAATCTCCAAACATTCAAAAAAATATTTGAGCTTTATGCATAATCTAGCTAAAACCTAATTCAATTTCACTTGATGGAGGGCGAGGATCAGGGTCCCAATGTTCTATCGAAAGAGACCCAGGTTTTGTATTCTAGGGTTTCTGCTTTGTCCCTCCATGATGAGGCCAGCAATTCGCCCAAGGTAATTTTCCTGTTTCCTTATTGCTTCGATGGGTCTTGCTTCTTTGCCGTAAATAATGTTTGTGTCTCAATTTCCTTGCTTTTAATTATGTTTGCCTAGCGATTTGAGCTTTGAAGTTGCTTTATCGTAGCAACTAAGAAATCAGCTTTTGAATTTGATGTTTACTCTAAGGATGCCAAGAAACAAAAGTTTTCTCTTTTTAGCTGAACAGAAAGGTTAAGCATAATGTATTTCAATTTGCTGTAGGCAATGTTGGCATAGGATTTGAGTTGGGAGATGTATGTTAGATTCAAATTTGTGTAAGTTTAGGATTTTATGTTGTAATTTTTATGGGTATATTGACAGTTTTGTATTCTTAACAAGTGTTAATTTTGTGATTTTTTATGGGTGAATTTCATTTTTATTGATGATAATTACTTTGCCTTGATGTGGGCAATAGGATAACATGGGGCGTAAATCTAGGGAGAACTGTGATTCTCTGAGTGATGTTGCTGCTGATGACAACCAAGAAATGAGTGTTTCCAGAGAATGTGATGCTAAGTTATCACCTGTTGTCATTCAGGAGTTCAATGATAAGAAGGAAGAGCAGAGAGTTGTACCACAAAAGCCTGGGAAATACTTCTTTTATGACTCTCCACTTTCTGAAGATACTGGAGTTTGGATACCAGTCTCAGTTCCACCTATGCTTGAAAATGAGAATGAAGAATGGGCCAGAAGTCTTCACTCGAATGGGGGTTACTTCCCCGATGGTGATATGGGATGGAACCAGTACCTTGGGCAGGAGAAAGAGTTGACCATGTGGGATGTGATAGTGGAAATGATACTTGCAGCCCGTGGAAAAGTTAGTGCTTTTGCTTCTGGTGATATTCATAACTTTTCATGGGTATCAAGTCATGTACTAGAGCAAGCTTGGCGAGAGATGGCCCAAACTCTTACTGAGGTTAATTTTGGTAACGTAGTGGAAATTCTTGAAGCCGAGCCACCAAAGTGGTTGGCTGACAGTGCTGCTTCTTCCTGTATGCTGTGTGGGGTGAGGTTTCATCCAATCTTGTGCTCGAGACATCATTGCAGGTTTTGTGGAGGATTATTTTGTGGTGAGTGTTCCAGAGGAAGGAGCTTATTGCCAGCTAAGTTTCATGTTTCTGATCCCCAACGTGTCTGTGATGTATGCTGTGTGCGGCTTGAGACTGTCCAACCATACTTAATGGACCAAGTAAGCCATGCTGCTCGTCTGCCAACCCATGATGTGACAGACCTTAGTACTTTGAGATCCTGGGTTAATTTTCCATGGGGACAGTCCATGGATTATGAAATTTACAAGGCCACAAATACAGTCCGGGGTTATATCACTAAGGTAAGAGTTGGATATGAAGGTCATATGAAATTGATATTTGGCTTTTTCTATTGTTTAATAAAATTGAAAATTCATGGATTTGACATAAACATGCACTTTCCTAATTGAAAGAACTTATAGACTTTTCGTAGTACCAATGTCATCTTTCATTCTGGTGAATTATCCGTTTAATTTTCTTGGCATTCTAACTCCTTGTTTATTATTGGACGAACTTTTGTCAGGTGGGCTCTTTGATACCTGAGAAATCCATTCCAGATGCCATTCTTAGAGAAGCAAAAGGCCTGGCTATACTATCAATTGCGAAAGTTGGTGTGATGGTTACATACAATATTGGAACGGGACTCGTGGTTGCTCGTAGAGATGATGGCTCATGGTCTCCACCATCTGCCATTTCTTCATTTGGTGTGGGATGGGGAGCTCAGGTAAAGTAATATGTAATTTCCAACATTTTTTGAATCTCCTGTTAGAATTCAGTGCACTCAAAATAGATCTCTTTCCTTGTCTTGAAAATTTGAAATTCCAACTAGTGTAGATTCGTTTTGGCCTTCCTTGAGTAATTGTTTTCTTTTGCAATTTTCTTGTGAGAAGAAACTGGTTTTTAGCTGTTTTCTTCTAATGATGGAGGGTTTAATATAACTTACAGGCAGGTGGAGAGTTAACAGACTTTATAATAGTTTTGAGAACAACTGATGCTGTCAAAACATTCAGTGGTTGTGCTCATCTTTCTCTTGGAGCTGGTTTGAGTGCAGCAGTTGGTGTTGTTGGGAGGGCAGTTGAAGCTGATGTACGAGCTGGTGATGGGGGTTGTGCTGCATGTTATTCATACAGTTGCAGTAAAGGTATTTGTCTCATTTATGCAATTTGTTTCCATTTCCTTTGTGAAAAAAAGTGAAGTTCATGGTTTTTTCTTCCTATATGCATACAAGCAATTTTAAGTTCTATTTGAAGCAATATCAGCTTCTTCCTTGCATATCTAATTAATCCTTGTTCAATGTCTAAGCTAAATACTGCTGGTGACATATCCTGGCAGACATCAGAATCTTGAAAACTGGAATCATACCTTCCTTCTAAGAAAAACATCTCTTAAAATTAATGTAAAATTTAAATGCTTCTGAAAATGATATGCAGGTGCATTTGTTGGATGCTCACTTGAAGGGAGCATTGTCACAACCCGTTCACGAGTTAATTCACGGTTCTATGGCAGACATTCAATAACTGCAACTGATATATTACTTGGCTCAATGCCTAGGCCACCTGCTGCTGCTATTCTCTACCATGCACTTGAAGACCTATATAAGAAGCATGAAATGTAGGTGCCTGGTACTTGTCATTAAGAGATTCAACATCATGATGAAAATCTATTAAGCCAAGAATCTGTTTTTGTGCATAGTCTGTGTTACCGTTCTTTCCCGGTTATTAGGCAAATGTCTACATGGCATAGGCATTAAGTGGGAAAATGAAAGCAAAATGTTCACCATCGAAATGTACAGTGACAAATCTTTGGTGTTGTATATATGATTTAAAGTTGTTCATTGGGACAAAAGAACAAATTTGAAAAGATAAAATATTAAAGCTTTCGGTGCATGCTTTCCAATTTCCATATGTTTCAATGTTCTGTCATAGACTCATAGCCGAGTTAAATTTTCTTGAGCACCCTAAAAAGGTTAATATGATTATGACTGTAAGCATTAGTGCTGATATGATTAACAAGCTGACCTGTAACTTTCTGGGCGCAGTGCCACTAACAATTTTGTTCCTTTTACCAATGGCTTTGGGCCTTTGATGTGATAACTTTAATTGCCTGCCCTTCAAGTGGGGAACCATAAAAGCCTTTCAAAGATCAAAGTTCCCTCTAAAGTTCTCAAATTCTCATGGGTCAAAGAATTGCCACTTTGTCTTGACTTTTGACTTTGTGGCTAGAGGGAAGAGGAATTGAAGGTAAAATGGACTGAATAAATATGTTTAAACACACCCACTTGGAGAAAGGAACAGAGATCAGATATGGGTCTTCAATTTGGGAGACATCATCATACCGGTTAAGCTTTGCTTTTGGCTCCATACTGCTCAGTAATCATGGCTAATGTGTGCATATGTATGTGTTTGAGTGTGCAATCACTCAAAGTCTATAATGGGCTACAGTATCCGATCCAAGCATCCAAGACTTTCTCCATACAAAGATTGCTACATCAATCATTGCTTGATCAACCCAGAAAAAAGGCCATGGAAATCCAAGAATGCAGGCTTAACAGTGAACAATGGACTTAAATAAACATGGAAAACAAACTGTACTACAAGCAATTCAGGACATTTCCCTTTTTTTACAGCTCTTCCTTCTTCCCAAGGAAGAAATAATACTTTGACCAGTCCCATTGACAGATTTATGAAATGCACACAATTTACCTCCAAATGATACACAGGGCTGGCATTCTGTTTCCCAAAGCAGAACCATTCAACATCATCCGAATCATTTGGAAACCAAACAGATATTCATCTGCTAGTGCTTTTCTGTGTTGTGTCGTGTGATTTCTTCACTTCCCTAGGGATAGTGAAGATCACAAAAGGAAAAGACAGGGACCTCGACAAAAATTTGCATCAGGAGAAAACAAACTAAGATGTAAATTTTGAACATTCGAATCCCATCCAATCACAAACCCGGAATCACACCAAACAACTGATAGCAATGTCAATGCCATGACTAAAACTACTCATAAAAAAAAGATAGTAATAGAATGGAAGATAAACTGCACTAAAAGGCAGCTTGAGCTATTTATAAATTAATTTTTTTTGGCTTAGAAGAAGGGGGAGCCTGCTTCTACTCACTGTACTGACCCAACTCGGTTACCAGCCAGAACACGCAGAATCTTGGATTTTGGACATGATGTTTGAGTTCTTTCTTGATAAAGAGATGGAAGAAACCAAATGAAGACCTGTGAATAATATTCTCACCCTCTTCCATGAAGCTCTATCTGCTTAGTACAACAAATTATTAGAAAACAAAACCAGCACAGAAAGAAAGAAAAAATCATGTGAGGTTTTGCACATTTTCAACCACAACTTACCTGGTTTTTGAGTTTCCAAGAGTAAGTTCAAGATCATCAGCTACACATTCCTCGTGAATCCTCTCTCCTTCCCAGGGCTTCACTAATCCTGTAGCATTATTGCCAAATGCAAATTCAGAAGTAATGGCATCTGACATTGGAATATCTGCTGTTTGATCAATGCCTGCAGGAACAGCCGGAGAGCATGTTCCACTTTGCCCAGGAGTCAACATCCTTGAACCACCAGCTGAAAATGCCTCTTCTTTGAACCCAAATGGATTTCGTGAGACAAGACTAAATGTAGGGGATGATGGCCCACTTAGGGGAATTTCCAACCTGGAAAGCCATCCTGATTCAGGTAGGACTTGCCGGCTGGGACTAGGTGGAGTGGAAGAAGGCATCAAAGAATAGCGCTGACCAGCCCAAGCTGAGCCAGCCGAGGGGTCATCCCATTCATTTCGAGGAGTCCGAGAAGTTGGGGAGCTCAATGGTGGAGTGACTGGAGCACTTATCGACCCTCCAGCAATGTAAAGGTGGTGGGCAAGCTTGGATGAGGCTGATGATGAACCAGAGGAGAGGTTTCTAAGCCATGGGATTAGGGAATTTGGATCAGCATTACCATTACCATTTGAAGTGTAACGGTGAGATGAAACTGGGCTTGGGAAGGAAGATGAAGCAGGACTTGGATTGTAGGAAGCACAGGGACTTGGCTGATATGATGAACATGGACTAGCTGATGTAGAACCTCCCATGATATCCATGCGATCAACAGGCTTGCATCCCTACAGAAACCCAAAAAATGAATAAATAATCACTAGGAGCAGGAAGCCATACAGCATAAATTACATTTAATGTGCCTCACAAAAAGATGTTTTAGTATGAAAACTTAGAAACCTTGAATGAACAGAACTGAACTTATAATGATATTATTATAGCACAATGGATACCAAGAGGAAATGACAAAATACCATCATCCCTTCTATAGGGAAGAGTTATACAAAATCATATAACTTAACTTCTTAATTAGAAAGTGCTTTGCTTACTAAACTAAAGAGCTGTTTGGTATGGCAGTTTGAAACTAGCAGTTAGCTGTTTCATCTGATCAGGAGGTTATTATTTGTTATCATTAATAATTCAAATACTCTTCTTCATTAGATTAAATGAAACCGCTATCTCCTAGGTACCAACCGTTATACTAAAAAGTCCCTGAAATACAGTTGGGAACAATTATCAAAAATTTAACCAAGCACTTCCCAAAAGGAAAGTTTTTCACGGGAAAATTCAGAAGGCTTGGGAACTGGAATTCCGGAAGGGGCAAAACTCTGTTTGGCCGAGAAAAAAGAAGGAAATGAAAGCCTCAGTTGCATTAAAGCAAAGTTAAAAGCTTTCAATCTAACAGAAGGATTGAGCCTGAAATGACGGAACTACCCTGCTTGATGTACACAGGTTTATGCGGACAATCCAATAATGATGAGGGTGTTATCGTCTTTATCAAAGGCCTCTGAGATCTATGAGCAAAAGCCTGGTTGCTGCTTTGTCCTCTGTTTCCAGTATTAGGGGATCGAAGCAGAAGCGAATCTTTCTGACTTCGTGCTTCGCGCTTTTTCCTCCCCGACAGACACTGTTACGATCTGACGTACGCCGGAGGTGGTTTCAAATCCAAATCTAAATAAACCTCAACCGACGATCGTAAAACGGAATCGAGTTCCGGCGATGACAACCACCGCCGAGCATTTTTCCACTATTCTCAACATTCATACTAACTTCCGCACACATTACTCAATTTTTTTTCCAAAAAAATAGAAAAAAAGAACACCAATCGGATGGATTCTACTTTTTATCGTCGATTGTATAGTTACTGAGATAAGAGTTGGATGATCGATTTCTTACCTTTCTGTAAGTGGTGCCATCTTCCTCCACCGTCCAGCCAGCCTCGCTGCAGAGAGCTTTCAAGACCTCGTTGTTGTCGCAGTGCTTCGGGAGCTTATAATTTCCGTACATTCGCAGCCCTGCGAAGATCTTCGCCGCGATCGCTCTCCGCCTCCTCTCCCTCCGCTTGTTATTCTCTCTCTCCTTCCACGTCGGCATTCTCGTCCCGGACGTCATGGTTCTAAACCTCTGAGCTCCCGCGAAATCTCCAACCACCACCGATTATCACTTCATAGACTTTCTCGAGAAAATTTTCTCAGCTGTTTTCGCGAGAAACAAACTGAGAGAAGAGGATTCGGTTTCTTCCTTTTTTTGTTTTTTTTTTTTCTTTTCCTCTTGTGTTTTTTTATTTAAATGGAAGTTGTTTGGGGGAAGGTGAACTAAATACAGGGGATTAAGATAATTGCCCATGGATGATGGTTAAAATTACGAGAGAGCCACTGGTGTGGCTTTATTCCGGGATCACGAGGATAACACGTGTTCGGGCTTTTCAAAATGGTGGTGCTATATATATTATTTTTTTGTTTCATTTTTTTATACAACTTTCATATCATATATCATTAAATTAATAAATATATTTAATATTATAATTTTTATATAAATTAAAAAAATTAATTATTTTAATAATACGGTTAAATTATATAAAAAATAAACAAAATAATTATCCCAACAACAATTTTTTTTTTTAAGTATCATAAGCCTGCCAAGTGAGATCAGTGGCACGAGGCACAACGTTGCCGTTTTGGCCACTGACATGTTGCCTGGACAGTCCCGTTGTAATTTTCTTTCCGAAAAAAACCAACGACAATGCAGGTGTTTATTAAAAAAGCAAGGGTATAAAAGGAAATTGGTTAGAACAGCAAAGTAGCAAATTATTTGGATTTTTTTTTCCTTTTAAGTTTTAACCAACCCCAACCACTTTACTTTTTTTGGGCTTTTTTGTCTCGTTTGATTAAAAAGGAAACAAATAAAATAAAATTTATGATTAAAAAAAAAAAATTCCTAAGCAATAAAAACACTCAAGGTAGTGATATAAAAATAATTTTTTTATATTATTTTTTATATGTAATTAAATAAAAATATGTATTTAATATTATAAGTTTCACATGAATTAAAAAATTAATCATTTAAATAACACATCAAATTATATAAAAAAATAAGGTAAAAAAATTATATAAATTATTTTTTTTTTCTGAACTAATTAATTTGGTTAATATTATAAATTTTATATAAATTAAAAAAATTAAGTATTTAAATAACATTTAAATTGTATAAAAAAATAAGGTAAAAAAATTATATAAATTATTTTTTTTTTCCGACCTTGTTACTTTGGAGAATTTTCAAAGTGTTGTTTAATGCATGAGGGTGAAGGGATATTTTTGTCAAGACCGTACAGGCT